ACTCCTCCGACCATATTTTGATGTTCCCCAAGTTTTGGACTCAATCCGATATCGATTGGTCCACAAAATCGGACAATTCAGGTTCGTATGATGTTCGTTCTGAAATGGAGTGGGTGGTGTATTGCATAGTTTTGGCCATCGGATTTCAATCAAAACCCACCAAATGACTCCTCCCACCATATTTTGATGTTCCCCAAGTTTTGGACTCAATCCGGTATCGATCGGTCCGCGAAATTGAACATTTCAGGTTCGTACGAAGTTCGTCCTTTAATGGAGTGATTGGTGTATTGCATAGTTCTAGAGATTGGATTTCACTCACAACCCACCAAATGATTCCTCCCACCATATTTTGATGTTCCCCAAGTTTTGGACTCAATCTGATATCGATTGGTCCATGAAATCGGACAATTCAGGTTCATATGAAGTTCGATCAGATATGGAGTGGTTGGTGTATTGCACAGTTTTAACCCATTGGATTTCAATCAAAACCCACCAAAAGACTCCTCCCACCACATTTTGATGTTCCCCAAGGTTTGGACTCAATCCTATATCGATTGGTCCATGAAATTGGACAATTCATATTCATACGAAGTTCGATCACATATGGAGTGGTTGGTGTTTTGCACTGTTTTAACCATTGGATTTCAATCAAAACCCACCAAATGAATTCTCCCACCATATTTTGATGTTCCCCAAGTTTTGGACTCAATCCGATATCGGTTGGTCCACGAAATAGAACAATTCATGTTCGTACGAAGTTCGATCAGATATGGAGTGGTTGGTGTATTGCACAGTTTTAACCATTGGATTTCAATCAAAACCCACCAAAAGACTCCTCCCACCACATTTTGATGTGCCCCAAGGTTTGGACTCAATCCTATATCGATTGGTCCATGAAATTGGACAATTCATATTCATACGAAGTTCGATCACATATGGAGTGGTTGGTGTTTTGCACTGTTTTAACCATTGGATTTCAATCAAAACCCACCAAAAGACTCCTCCCACCACATTTTGATGTGCCCCAAGGTTTGGACTCAATCCTATATCGATTGGTCCATGAAATTGGACAATTCATATTCATACGAAGTTCGATCACATATGGAGTGGTTGGTGTTTTGCACTGTTTTAACCATTGGATTTCAATCAAAACCCACCAAATGACCCCTCCCACCGTATTTTGATGTTCCCTAAGTTTTGGACTCAATCCGAGATCGATTGGTTCATGAAAACGGACAATTTTGGTTCATATGAAGTTCGTTCTGTAATGGAGTGACTGATATATTGCACAGTTTTAACCATTGGATTTCAATCAAAACCCACCAAATGACTCCTCCCACCGTATTTTGATGTTCCCTAAGTTTTGGACTCAATCCGAGATCGATTGGTTCATGAAAACGGACAATTTTGGTTCATATGAAGTTCGTTCTGTAATGGAGTGACTGATATATTGCACAGTTTTAACCAATGGATTTCACTCACAACCCACCAAATGATTCCCCCCACCATATTTTGATGTTCCCCAAGTTTTGGACTTAATCCGATATCGATTGGTCCAGGAAATCGGATAATTCAGGTTCGGATGAAGTTCGTTCTGAAATGGATTGGTTGGTGTATTGCAAAATTTTAACCATTGAACTCAATCAAAACCCTCCAAATGACTCCTCCCGCCATATTTTGATGTTCCCTGAGTTTTGGAGTTAATCCGGTATCGATTGGTCCATGAAATCAGACAATTCAGGTTCGTTCTGAAATGGAGTGGCTGGTGTATTGCATAATTTTAGCCATTGGATTCCAATTAAAACCCACCAAATGACTCTTCCCACCATATTTTGATGTTCCCCAAGTTTTGGACTCAATCCGATATCGACTGGTCCATGAAATCGGACAATTCAGGTTCGTATGAAGTTCGATCAGATATGGAGTGGTTGGTGCATTGCACAGTTTTAACCATTGGATTTCAATCAAAACTAGGGGTGGGCACGATACGGTACGGTACGGTATTGAGCCCGTACCGCTACCGATACCGGAAATTTGAATCGGTATGGTACGGTACGGTATTATGGTTTGTCAAAATTGGTACCGTACTGTACCGTGTCAAATCGGTATCGGTACGGTATCGGAACTATTTCGGTACCAAAATGATACAACTAAAAAATGAACTAATTCAATATTCAGCACCAAAATAAGTGATGTCTAAGTTACAAATTAAAAGATTCAACATATTCAATATCCATCAACATATTCAATATTCAATATTCAATATTCAATATCAATCAACATATTCAATATCCAAATCCTAATTAACATATTCAATATCTAAATCAACCAAATCAATATTTATCCATCAACATATTCATCAAATCCAAATAGTTAAAACTCATGCATTATGGCTTACAAACCAAAAGAGTTAAACTTATGCTTTATGGCTTACAAAAATACAAACACAATCCAAACATAAATGACAAAAGCATTTGAGAAATTGAAAGGCAAGCGAGAGACAGAGAGCGAGAGAATGAAAAAAATATATATTTCAATAGAGTACTATTCGGTACGGTACGGTATTGACCAGTATCAAAATCTTGATACCGCTACCATACCATACTCGATTGGTCCGGTACGGCACGGTACCGAATATTTATCGGTACCGAATGAAACGGTATGAAATCGGTATGGTACGGTGCGGTTAGGGTACGGTTTCGGTATTTCGGTTTAAGATGCCCACCCCTAATCAAAACTCACCAAAAGGCTCCTCCCACCACATTTTGATGTTCCCCAAGTTTTGGACTCAATCCGATATCGATTGGTCCATGAAATTGGACAATTCAGGTTCATATGAAGTTCGATTAGATATGGAGAGGTTGGTGTATTGCACAGTTTTAACCATTCGATTTCAATCAAAACCCAGCAAATGACTCTTCCCACCATATTTTGATGTTCCCCAAGTTTTGGACTCCATCCGATATCGATTGGTCCACGAAATCGGACAATTCAGGTTCATATGAAGTTCGATCAGATATAGAGTGGTTGGTGTATTATACAGTTTTAACCATTGGATTTCAATCAAAACCCACCAGAAGACTCCTCCCACCACATTTTGATGTTCCCCATGTTTTGGACTCAATCCAATATCGATTGGTCCATGAAATCGAACAATTCATGTTCGTACGAAGTTCGATCAGATATGGAGTGGTTGGTGTATTGCACAGTTTTAACCATTGGATTTCAATCAAAACCCACCAAATGACTCCTCCCACCATATTTTGATGTTCTCGAAGTTTTGGACGATATCGACCGGTCCACGAAATCGGACAATTCAGGTTTGTATGAAGTTCGTTCTGAAATGTAGTGGCTGGTGTATTGCATAGTTTTAGCCATTGGATTTCAATCAAAACCCACCAAATGACTCCAGCCACCATATTTTGATGTTCCACAAGTTTTGGACTCAATCCGATATCGATCGGTCCCCGAAATGGAACAATTTAGGTTCCTCCAAAGGTCGTCATTTAATGGGGTGGTTGGTGTATTGCATAGTTCTAAAGATTGGATTTCACTCAAAACCCACCTAATGACTCCTCCCACCGTATTTTGCTGTTCCTTAAGTTTTGGACTCAATCCGATATCGATTGGTTCATGAAATCGGACAATTCATGTTAGTACGAAGTTCGATCAGATATGGAGTTGTTGGTGTATTGCACAGTTTTAACCATTGGATTTCAATCAAAACCCACCAAATGATCCTCCCACCATATTTTGATGTTCCCCAAGTTTTGGACTCGATCCGATATAGATTGGTCCATGAAATCAGAGAATTCATGATAGGACCCGACCCAAATTCCACTTTGGAATCCGAGCCGAACCCTGTTTGTGATCGACACCTGGTGGTTGCCGAACACAATTGACTTGGTTGCCCTTTTTGATTAAAAACTTAATTCCCTTAAATCCTGACTTCTACCGAAAATTCGGCAGAGTCTCCCCTGTAAATTGAACGTTCCCAA